ATGCCAAATCACAGCATAATCTTTTTAAAGACATTTTAAATGGCAGTTAAATATAGTAAGTATAGAACACCACCACCTATAACTCAACAGAAGTGTTGAACAGCTATGACCAAGTTCATGCATGTACCTGCAAGGACAACTGAGTCATAGCTGCTGCCTGGCTACCTGTCACTGTAAGAAGCCATGTGATGCAATGTGTAGTCATTAAATGTGAAAAACTATGAATCCAAGAATTGATGAAATTCAGTATTTGTACAACATCTGACTTAATCAGATAAGGTTGTCATCACAGTTGTAACCAGCCAGAGAATCTTCCAGGCTCAGGCCTCAACCAGCTTTCACCCAGGGCTATGGGGAGCAATTTCTCTATACACCTCACTCATGGTGCGCCACCATGACTGCTCACTATGTCGTGTTATTTGAATATGTCCAGCTGTCTTCCTGCTGCATGTGTATGTATCCTGTCATCTGCGTTAGCCTGTGTTACATTGCCAAACCATCATCCCTAAACATAGCCTTTTTGCAGTACTTAAGAACATACCCAAACCTTACCTAATTTGGCCTCATCTGTCCACAGTATGGATTAAAAATTCTCCTCACTTGATCAGAAATCATGACTACTATAATATGGCTGTGTTTCTATAAGCCGGTTATTTAACCTACTTAAGTCTCATTTTTCATAAGTCTCTTTTATAAGAAACTCTGTAGGGTCCCTTTAAGTGAAAGGTTGAAAACTATGTCTTACAAGTTTCGGGCGAATGTGTGAATTGGCCAGGTGAAATGAAAGAAGAATGTGGGGACAGTGACAAACTGGAACATGTAAAACCTGTCTAAATGCACTGTCATTCAGTTTCTGATACAGTTTGGTTTGTTTTCTTTTAAATATGTAGGTAGGCCAGATTTGGCCCACATGCTAAGAATTTGTGTACTCTGCTTTAAGCTCTAAAACCTCTATGATTCTAAGATCAGTGATCACGCTTATTTTGCAAGACATAGTGCAATGGCCGACTGAGTCTTTCTCACATCGTATCACAGACACTTTCTCTCTGACTCTAACTCCTCTGCTGCCATCTTCCACATTTAGGGACATTTGTGATTACATTGGGCCCACCTGGGTAATCCAGGAACATCTCCTTATTTTGAGGTCCACTGATTAGCAAATTTAATCCCATTTGCAATCTTAACGCCCCCTTGCCATGTAACATACCATTCACAAATTCTGGGAATTTGGAAGTTGGCATCTTTAGTGGGGAGCATTGTTCTGCCTACTATATCCACTGATAGTATAGTATAGTTTAGTATAGTATGGTATGATATGGTATGGTATAGTAAATGTTTAGTGGACATCTATTGTTTTGTTTCCCCAGCATCTTTTCATCCAAGTTTTGTTGCATCATCCTCACCTTTATCTGCTGTAGGGTACATCTTCTCACACTTTTTGCTGTTAGTAACTCTGCCAATGACACAATTCCACTTCTTGTGGCCACAACAGGGGGTATGGGGAAAAAGTAGTAATGCATCACCCTCGACCCAGTATTGGTCCAAGGAGTGGGCGTATGACCCATGCAGGCAAATCAGAGTCCGTCTCTGAGAACTAAGATGGAAGAACAGCTTCTTCTTTTCCCTTGGATCATGAGCCACAGGCTGTGACCCAAGAGATGCTGGTAGTCACATGTCTATAGGTACATACTCCTCCCCCACAACATATGGAGAAGCCTAAGAGAATGGATCCAATAGACAAATAGAAGGCCAGACCGCAGCTGAGAGGCAGAAATTGGTCCTTTTTGCTATTCAAATCTCACAATTCCGTGATATTCCTGCAGCTGGCTCTACCTCTACATTTCAAAGGCCACCGTTGTGAGACAGTGATTTCTGCTATTTTGCTCAGGCTAGTTTGAGTTGAATTTATATCACTTGGCACAAAAAAGACCTAAAATAAAAGCTTAGGGCCGGCCCCAAGGCTTAGCAGTTAAGTGCGTGCGCTCCGCTACTGGCGGCCCGGGTTCGGATCCCGGGTGCTCACCAACGCACCGCTTCTCCGGCCATGCTGAGGCCGCGTCCCACATACAGCAACTAGAAGGATGTGCAACTATGACATACAACTATCTACTGGGCTTTGGGGAAAAAAAGGAGGAGGATTGGCAATAGATGTTAGCTCAGAGCAGGTCTTCCTCAGCAAAAAGAGGAGGATTAGCATGGATGTTAGCTCAGGGCTGATCTTCCTCACAAAAAAAAAAAGCTTAGATTGAAGTATTACTTGCTTCACGTCAATCTTGTTTTCTCTAATACACTGTAACTCTTGTGAGATCAGAGTTCATGCCATAGTTCTGTGGACAACCTCCTATACATCTGACAGTAATAGGCTTATTGTAGGAGCTCCAAAAGCATCTTATGATTTATATGTCTTACTTACACATCATCCGTTAAAAATAAATATAAATAAAACAAAAGTTATCCCTACGCGTTTCTAATTTTGGCATTTTTCTTGACTGTATTCATGAAATCTGTATTTTCCAAGTCTGCAGCTTGCGTAAGTTCTGATCTTTTGTAAGATGGAGGTCTTAAAAATAAGCAGTTGAGGGGCTGGCTTAGTGGCATAGTGGTTAAGTTCCTACACTCCGCTTTGGTGGCCCAGGGTTCACAGGTTCAGATGCCGGGCGCAGACCTTCACACTGCTCATCAAGCCATGCTATGGCGGCATCCCACATACAAAAGGGAGGAAGATTGGCACAGATGTTAGCTCAGGGACAATCTTCCTCAAGCAAAAAGAGGAAGATTGGCAACAAACGTTAGCTCAGGGCCAAGCTTCCTCACCAAAAAAAAAAAAAGCAGTTGATCACATGTTGTTGGAATGTTAGGAGCACACGAACAAGTAGCAATTGGCAGAGATTGGCCTAAACACTACTGACATTTTACTCTCCCCAAATTAGATCAATAGATTTTTGGAAAGGGACACTCGTGTCTAATTTAAATTAAAAAACAATGTTTTTAAAGGAATGAATGTAAATACAGAGAAATATAAAAATTAGCTTTTTAATATACATCTTTTCACCTTTTGGAAGCATTTTTATACAGTTTAGATTTATATATGTGTGTGTGTGCATGTGTGTGTGTGTACACAGCTCTCCATGGAGCATAATCCCCCCATGGAGCATAATCTGATGGCAGCCAAGGGCTACAGAGAGATATTCCCTGACAAGTGGAACTGCTGTGCTGACCAGTGGGATGTACCACAGTGTCCTATCTTTTCATCAGACTTCCTTAGGGAAGAAATAAATTGATTCATTCAGGGACTATGTTCCCAACTAATTAGTACTTTCAATCAGGTCCAATAACCTTGAGTCAGTGGCTATTTTTTGGTGTAGATTCTGAGTGCTACACGCCAGGCACAGTTCTAGGGGCTTTACATGCATCGGCTAATGTAATTCTCCAACAATCATACGCAAGTGTTTGTGGTAGGCAGAATTTTAAAAGATGCCCCTCCCCCCAAGATTCTTGTCCCCTGGTTATTCCATCAAACACTAATCTAGATACTGCTCTGAAGGGACTTTGCATATGTAATTAGGGTTATGCTGGACCTCAAAATAGGAAGGTTATCCTGGATTACCTCAAAATAGAGAGGTTATCCTGGATTACCTGGGTATGCCCAATCTAATCATTTGAGATCTTAAAATTACAGAACTTTCTCAAGCTGGAGTCAGAGAGACTTGGTGAAAGAAGATGACAGAGGAGAGATGATGCAGAAGGGAAGGTCAGAGTAATTCAAAGTGTGATGAGGACTTGACCTGTCATTAATGGCTTTGAAGATGGAGGAAGGGGGCCACAAGCCAAGCAATTCCGATGGCCTCTAGAATCTGAGAACCTGCATCCAAAGGCCAGCAGGGAAATAGGAACTGCATAGAACTGAGTTCTGCCAACAACCTCAAAGCAGATTTTCCCACAGAGCCTCTCCTGAGGAATCATTGCCATCCCACCGCCACTTTCCTAGCACAGTTCTAGATTAGAGTAGGCTGAGACACAGTAACTAAGTTCAACATGTGGTTCTTGATTAGACTCTGGTGGTGGGTAGGGTAGGGAACAGTTTTAAAGAATATTGTTGAGACAACTGAGGAAATTTGAATTTAGCCTATGTGTTAGATAAAAGTATTTTATTAATATTAAATTTCTTGAGTGTGATAGTTGTATCATGATTATTTAGGAGAATGCCCTTGTTTTTAGGAGATACATGCTCAAGTATTTAGGGATGATGCATCATTACAACCTATGTAGCTAGCGAGAGTTAAAGCAAATGTGTAAAAATGTTAAGTTGGTGAATCCAGTTGAAGGGTATATGGATGTTCATTGAACTATTTTGGGAACTTTACTGAAAAAAAATTTCAAGTTTTTCAAAATAAAAAGTTGGCGGGAAAAAATAAATCGCTTTGGATACTCTGTAGAATGGGTTTGAGATGAGTAGGAGGGAAGTGGGAAGACCAGATGGGAAGGTAATGTTGTCGTCAGATTGAGGGCTGGAGAGGCAGAGGGGATAAAAAAAAAGCATCCCCACCCCACTCCCAGCTAGGTCAGTGAAGTGAATCCGAGTGACGAAAGCTAATCATATAACTATAATTCCCACAGGCATCTCTCTCGTGGGACAAACTTCTACAGGGAAGAGGGTGTGGTTGTCCAGCACCTTTCAAATTTGGTTAGGATCAATTACTCGCGCAGCCACAGATTTGCGCTCCCGCAGAGGGCGCAATGGGCCGCAGGCAGGAAGAGTCCACCTCTACAGCGTAAGTAGGGGGAGGCGGCATCCTAAAGTTAATCGGTCCTTCCCTTCGCAAGCTATCTCCCAAATCTTCGTGCTTTTTCCCTACAATAATTTTGTTGTTGCTGAGTAGCTCCACAAAACTGATGTGTAATTGAGACTAAGGATGAGTTACACAAAGACTTTGTTTCCAGCTCCCCCTCACGTCCGCTGAGTTCGCCGGGCCGCGAGGGGCGGGGAGAGGAAGCGGAAGTGTTGGTGGCCCGAGGAGCGTCAACCTGAGTTGGTGGTGGCGTTTTTGGACCCTTGCCATGGAGGGGTCTAGCGAGCCTCCGCTGGATGCTAAGGCCGAGGTACGTCCTGGCCTGGAAGGAGCTGAGGTAGCGGGCCTTGGGGCAAGAAAGGTCATTCCCTAAATTGTATTTTCTGCTTCTGTTTCAGGTCACCACCCAGGTGAGTGAGTGGCCACCCCGCCCCGTCCTCAGTCGGCCTGGCTGGGCGAGGGGCGGGCGGCAGCACCTGGGCAGCGTCCCGCCCCTGGGAGCCGCGGGACAATGCCACCGTGAGCCTTCCCCAGCTCTCCCCCCCCCCCCCCCAGTCCAGCGCCTGTGTCCGGGAGCCTGTGACTTTCATCCCGCTGCCCTGCATTGCTCCTCCCACTTTGCACCTGAGATGGTAGCCCCTGCCGTTGTAATTTAATCTCCTGCACCCCTCCAGGCCATAGAGTACAGACCAAGTATTGTTCTCTTGATTAGGCGCCCTTTATTCGACACTAGGTACACAGTATTTTAGAATGTGAAGTATACAGAGAAGAAATTATTAAAATTTACAGATAGCACCGCGAAGCTTTTCTTAGTCTTTAAAAACAGTTATTTTGAAGGAGAGTAGACCTCTTTAACCTTTCAATGTCTATATTTTTTATGCTAGGAATAAGAATTTGAATTTTTAAGTATATCTTAGGCCTCTTTCTTTGTTCCAGGTGTTCCTGTCCTGTTCAGCTAATAAACTGTTAGGGTTTTTTTTGTGAGGAAGATTAGCCCTGAGCTAACATCCCATGTCAATCCTCCTCTTTTTGCTGAGGAACACTGGCCCTAGGCTAACATCCGTGCCCATCTTCCTCCACTTTATATGGGATGCCGCCACAGCATGGCCTGACAAGCGGTGTGTTGGTGCAAGCCCGGGATCTGAACCCACGAACCCCGGGGCCACTGAAGCGGAGCACACACGCTTAACTGCTACGCCACTGGGCCAGCCCCACCTAATAGACTGTTTTTAGACAAACTTATAACACACTTCCCAGAAGAAGAGTACTAAAACTAGAGTATTTTAGGGCGGGAGTTACCTGCGTCCATATAAAGTATAAGACAGAGGCCGGCCCCGTGGCTTAGCGGTTAAGTGTGCGCGCTCCGCTGCTGGTGGCCCGGGTTCAGAACCCCAGGCACGCACTGACGCACCACTTCTCTGGCCATGCTGAGGCCGTGTCCCACATACAGCAACTAGAAGGATGTGCAGCTATGACATACAACTATCTACTGGGGCTTTGGGGGAAAATAAATAAAATTATAAAAAACAACAACAACAAAAAACAAAGTATAAGAAAGGGCAGAGATAAGAAATAACGAGAGTGCAGGGGCTGAGAGATGTCCGTTGACTGTTCTCTGTCATCTGTCCCCAACTGCTCTTGCTGTTGCTTTTGAGGATTCCTGGGTGTAGGGGAAACTCAGAGGGATTGTAATCAACCCCCTATCTGGGTTTGCTCAGTTACTGAGTTAGTGCACTTGGACACAATTTCTCATAAATCATCGTATCTATTCACTTACACTAAATCATATATTTATTTGAGTAAGATATCCTGAAATTGAATTATACTAGATTGTAGAGTTTTAAAAATTGAACCGTTTTGGCCGGGGGTGGGGAGCATATTTAAAACACATTTATTGTCTTATAGTTCTGGAGGTCCGAAGTCCAAAATTAGTCGTGGGACTAAAATCAAGGTGTTGGCAGGGCTGTGTTCCTTCTGGAGGCTTTGGGGGAGAATCTGCTTGTCTTTTCCAGCTTCTAGAGGCTGCCTGCATTCCTTGGCTTGTGGCCTCCACTTCCATTTTCAAAGCACACCATTCCAGCCTTCTGTCATTGCATTGCCTTCTCTGACTGTGACCCTCCTGCTCCTCTCTTATAAGGATTCTTGTGATTACATTGGGCCCACCTGGATAATCCAGGAAACTCTCCCCACCTCAAGATCCTGAATTTAGTCATATCTGCAAAGTTTGTTTTTCACATTTGCGGGTTTCAGGGATTGGAACATGGACATCTTTGGGGGCCATTATTGAGCCTTCCCTTCCATGCAATCATTCACAGGTTATATGATTGTTTACACAGAAAAAGTCAAGATAATTTACAGATTATTGGAATTAATATGAGAATTTAGCAAGGTGATTCAATTGTTTTCCTATATTCAGAAAGTGGAAAAATATTTTTTAAAAAGTCATTTACAACATTAAGAAAGAAATTATAAAGTACCTTGCAACAAATGTAACAAAAGATGTTTAAAACCTTTATGAAGAAAATTATACAAAGTGATAGACTTCCAGTTTCTGGTCTGGTCTGAGGAGCTTGGAAGTCATCACTTTATCCTAAAAACAAATAAAAAGCTGAACAAACTGAAAAATCAACAACAACTCTTGGATCCATCAAAGCAGTGAGGCACACTGCCGCCCCCAAAATTGGAGAGACAGGTGAATACTGAGAATCACAACTTACCGGAACAGAAACCCCCATGAAAACCGGTGCAGGGCTAGGAAAACCTAAACTATAATTGACGAATTGCTGGAGGTTCAATGTGGACAAATTTGAGTTAGAATCTTAGGGATGCAGTCATTAGGGAGGCCTCACACTTTTGTGAGTTTTACCTCCAGAAACTCCTAAATTGAACGTTTTTATTTGCAGTTCATGATGTGTTTTTTAATGTTAAACTGCTAGACAAAATGATTATGTGTATTCAAGAGTTTTATAGGTCGAAAAAGTCCATTACCTAGCTATAAGTCTTTTTTGTTTGTAGTATATGCTTTTTAAATGTACCAGGTATAGCTAATATTTGTTTGAATTCTTCGAGTTATAGTATCTTCTTTCTTTAAATATTTCTCAGCAGTATAATCTTAGGAAGGTTAATTGGGACCACACCTCCAGTGAGTGTTCATACCCTCCATCCAATCCATCAGCATACTATTTTCTCTGCCTTTAAAAATGTACTCTAAATTCACTTTTGCTTGTTGCCACCTGAGTCCAAGCCATCATCCTTTTGCTTAGATACTGTAAAAGGCTTCCAACTGGGTCTTCTTGCTTTCCTTCTTAAATTTGCTTAAATCCAGCAATCTGGGGGAGGTTTTTGCTGTCTAAGTTAGACCAGGTCTTTTCCTTGCTCGAAGCCTTTTAAAAGATTCCTGTCACACTAGAAAAAAAGTCTTAAATATTTACCTTGGCCTAAGGGCCCTTCAAGAATGGATTCTTTATCTGTTACCAGTCTATCCCTAGCTTACGCCACTCCAGCCACATGGCCTTATTGTTCCCTGCAAACCCTCTGTCCCGAATGTTCTTTTCTCCAGATATCCATGTGGCTTTTTCCTTCACTTTACTCAGGTCTCTTTCTACTCAAAAGCCACCTCCTCAAAGAGGTCTCCCCCAAGCTGTAACTAAACAGCCTTCCTGGTCACTCTAGCTCCTTACCCTGCCTTTTTTTTTTTTTTTTTTTACAATTTTTATAACACTTACTACAACTTTATTATATATTTATTTGTTTATTGTCTATCTTCCCCATTAGAATGTAAGTTCCTGAGGTTGGGAACTTTGTTTTATTCTTTTTTATATCCCCAATGCCTAGAACATAGTACTGTTTAGTAAATACTTACTGAATATTGGGGCATAGAGACAAAGTACCTTGTCCAAAGCCACGTGGTCAGAAGGTAACAGAGCTGAGATTCAAACTCAGGTCTGTCTGACTTCAGAATCTGAGCTTCTTAGGGCCGCCCCGTGGCTTAGCGATTAAGTGCGTGTGCTCCGCTGCTGGCGGCCCAAGTTCGGATCCTGGGCGTGCACCGAAGCACCGCTTCTCCGGCCATGCTGAGGCCGCGCCCCACATACAGCAACTAGAAGGATGTGCAGCTATGACATACAACTATCTACTGGGGCTTTGGGGGAAAAACAAATAAATAAATAAAATTAAAAAAAAAAAAAAAAAGAATCGGAGCTTCTTAAATTTAACAAACCATAGTGCTATATTGTCCAGCACCAGAGGTCTAAGATTATTCATTACTTCACATTCTGATACTTAAAATCATTGTTTTGAAGTAATTCTTCATTCTCTTTTATAGACGTCTAATTAGAACTGCTCATCATAGATGAACGATTGTTCCATTGTTGCCACATTTTATTGCTTTCCTTCTTGCCACTTTTATGGTATAAGTTAAAAGAAAGATGTTTTATTGACTCACATTATCTACTGCAATTTTCCCTTTTCCCATATATGAGAAATAGTGACTTAAATTTTTGTACGGTTTATGGAGTAGTTCGTAAATGTATGGCTGTTTTTGTTCTTCTGTGTATTGTGTTAGGTACTATAAGTCACGTCAAGACGTATGAACTGCCCTAAAGGAGTTTGCAGTCTAGTGGACGTGGGGGACAGAGACAAATCCACAAATGACTGCTATTCAAGGCAGAATGTTATAAGTGCTGGGATATAAGAAGTGACATGAACATTCATAGAAAGATTGAGTAAACCAGGAAAGACTTCACAGAGCAGGTAGAATTTGAGAGGAGTTTTGAATTTTAAGTAGACATTTGAGACTTTTATTCCAGGAGGATTGAGCAGCATGAGCAAAGGTGTAAAGGCTAAAAGGTAGTTTAAAGAAAGGATATAGTTCAGTTTGAGTACAAGTGGCAAAGCTATTTGAGACCTGCTTTGAGATGACTTAAGTGCTAGGTGAATGGTTGGTAACTTAATGACCAGTAGACATTAGAGGTTTTTGTCCTGTGATAATTAGATTTAGTTAATTTGTAAGTAGTATTTTGAGTCTGTAGTCAGGACTGGAGCCGAGAAAGACTATAGGCAAGAAACTAATTAGTAAAATTTAAGGCCAGATTTTTTAAAAAGGCTTTCAGTAGGTTTGTAACAGTGAGACTGGGAAGAAGGGAATAAATGTCAGTAGCATTGGCTGAAATAAAATCTTGAGTACCTAGCAGTTCATGTATAGTTTGAGTAAGGGAGAGAGAAAAATCAGAGTTAACTGAAGTTTCAAACCTGAGTGACTTGGAAAATGGGGGTCATCAGTAGAAATGAAATGAAGATGAAAAACGTTTTTGAGAGAAGCTGATATGTGTTGGGTGTTGCAGGGCAGTTGCTATGGACTTACTAGTAGTGAACATGTTTAACAGGAAAGGCTCTCGTTCTGTATTATTTT